CAGTAGCAGCAGCAGCAGTAGCAGCAGCAGCAGCAGTAGCAGCAGCAGCAGCAGCAGCAGTAGCAGCAGCAGCAGCAGCAGCAGCTAACTACGTGTCGTGAAGCGATAGATAGAGTGTGAAGCATCGGCCCCACGTGCTGGACAGACGATGCGTACACGTGCATCGTCGTCGTCATGCCGGGGTTTCACATACAAGTCAGAACTCCCTCCCAGTTTACGTACACATGATTCTATATATATACAGCTACATAGTAACCTATACGGCTTTATTCTCAATGACGCTTCCTTCTATTCAGTTCCTATGTCTTTAGATTTCTGTTCACTAATTAACGTAAAAGCACGGATTATGTAAATTGTTAGGATTTGAGCAAGTACTTTACAAGAATAGCAGTGTGTATTTACGCACGTACGTAGCACGTATATATAATTATAATCACACTAATGTATATTTATTGCAAAAAACTAAATTTTTGGTCTTGATGGTATTAATCATGTATACATGAACTGTGAACGGTGACCACGACAGGATGGTCAAAACCATAGTTCTTTGGTACAAATATACACCAGTTAATTTAATCTTGCTTTATATGTATGTATATATATAATATATAAATGTATATCTATATATATACACATAGTAATATATGTTCAGCAGCTATACAACCGTTTTATAACACAACCTTTTAGCACTTGTCATAAAGGTTAAAACCGTTAAGTAAAAACACTTCACCAGCGCTCTCACAACGTGAATCACACATGCTCGCGTTTGCTCACTAGCTCACTATCCTCTAACAGTAAGACACTCCCCTTCTCCCAAACACTTACTTGGATGGGTAACAACCACAACACATAAAAAAATAGCACGATATAGAGATAAAAATAGAATGAGATAAAACAGAAACCCGCATGCACACATCAACGTGCACAAGCACAACTATGCAATCCTGTGTGCAAAATATATATATACACATATATATATATATATATATATATATATATACATGCGTGTATGTACGCCCGCACGCACTCACATAGATACATAGGTGCAATTTCAGACGTCTTGTGTATCAGATCACACTAGCACGACAACAAAGGCCATATTCGCCTATCTATGTACGTGCGATATGCCCACTAGCTCGCGTATCGCGCACCGACGCCCACGCGCACACACGGCTCCTAAACTCATGCTAGCGCCTCTGAAAGGCTTCCCGCATCGCACGCCGTGTAGCTAGATAGCAGCAGCAGCAGCATTACTGCTACATAGCAGCAGTAGTAGTCGCTACTGCCCGTGTATCAATCAGCGCACGGCTGCCCACACGGTCAGCTTTCTGTTACGGCTCTATGATACACTCTAGAACGTACACAGTATGCGGGCGCGCACAAGCGGCGAGAACCACCGTTAATTTGACAGATATATACACGTATATATATATATATATATATATATATATATATATATATATATATATATGCTTATGAGCATTATACTGTTGCTACTAATGCATATGTACTATTGCTGCAATGGCTCTTTTCGATTTATTCAGCCTTTCCAGATTTTTCTCTCTCGCTATAATGGTCTGGCTAATTTGATTGAAATTATAGACCTTTTATCCGTTGCTTCTGTGTGCGGTACATTTCGCCGAGCCAAACGTAGTTGATATAATAAGAAAATTAGACGAAAATAGGCGGATAACATCAATGAAAAACGGATGTGAAGGTAGCATCGTCTCTTTCCAGGAACATCCGTACATATTTACGAAACAGAACAGCATCACACCTGATCAAGGAGAGCTGTAGGCAGGAGACAGGAGGCGGGAGCGGGAGGCGGGGGCAGGAGGCG